TGATCTGTACCTCAACTCATCCTTTCAAATTCAATTTCCCGCTTTTTCGCCCTATCCCTTAAGACCCTGACCTACCAAAAATCTATCAACCTCACTGTTGAAGGTGTAGATGGATCCAGCATCCACAGCCTTTTGGGGGAGAGAATTCCAGATTTCTACCACCCATTGGGTGAAAAAATGCTTCCTGATTTCAGTCTTGAATGGCCTGGTTCTAATTTTAAGACTACATCCTCTTGTTTTGGATTCCTCCACCAGAGGAAATAGCTTCTCTGTATCTACCCTATCAAATCCCTTTATCATCTTAAATACCTCAATCAAATCACCTCTCAATCTTCTAAACTCAAGGAAACATAATCTAAGTTTACGCAGCTTTTCCTCAGAACTTAACCCTTTTAAGCCTGGTAACATTCTGGTGAACCTGTGCTACATCCCTTCCAGGGCTAATATATCTTTTCTGAGGCGCGGTGCCCAAAACTGAATAATAATAATAATAATCCTTGCATTTGATATAGCGCTTTTCACGTCGGGAGGACGTCCCAAAGCGCTTCACAGAATATACTGTAAAGTGAGTTGACTGTATATTTGTGGGCGAACGCGGCAGCCAATTGCGCACAGCAATGTCCCACAAACAGTCATAGATTGAAAATGACCAATTTAATTATTGTTTTTGGTTTTGGAGGGATTATTATTAGGCTCTGTGTGGAGTAAGGAAACTTGCCCAAGGTTTCGCCCTCTGCCTGGAATTGAACTCAGGTCTCTCACTTGCAAAGCGAGTGCTCTAACCACTGAGCTACAGGACTCCACAAACTGAACACAGTACTCCAGATGGGATCTGACTAACTCTCTATGCAGCTGAAGCATCATTTCTTCCCCTTTGTAGTCCAGACACCTTGAGATAAAGGCCAATATTCCATTCACCTTTTTGATAATTTTTTCACCTGGGAACCAGTTTTAGTGATTTGTGGATATGGACACCTAAATCTCTTTGCTCCTCCACAATTCTTAATTTCTCCCCATTAAGAAAATATTCTGTTTTATCTTTTTTCGGTCCATAGTGGATGACCTCACACTTCCCTACATGAACTCCATCTGCTGCAGCTTTGCCCACTCATTTAGTCCTGTCTAAGTCCCTTTGTAACTTCCTACTCCCATCTGCACAACTTTTGAGCCTCCCAGCTTAGTGTCATCTGCAAACTTGGATATGAAACTTTCTATCCCTTCATTCAAGTCATTTGTATGTATATATATATATATATATATGTATGACGAATAGCTGGAGTCCCAGTACAGACCCTTGGGGGACACCACTTGTCAGGTCCCGCCAATACTATTGAGTGCATATTCTGAAATCAAATAGGCTGAATTGAATTCATGTGAATCCATCACATTTCTCTTGTAATCTTGTGATATTTGTTCCTGATGGCACATATCTGAAGGTTACTGATATTTTAAACAACAAAGACATTTTCTTTAGACTTCAGATTAGTTGCCAGGCTTGTATTTCTGCACTATGGCAAAAGAGATTAATTGATGATTCTCTCTTGTTTCTGTAATTCCGTGCAATCTATGAAAAATTAATGTAACTTCACTCATTTGGAAAGCTTGGATCTAAGATTTGTCAAATAGAATGGATCGAATGTTTATATTTCCACAACATTTTTCTTCTGACTAAAGTCAGACTTTACATTTTATCTAGGGGGCTTGATTTTAATCCACCATACCATTCTCCCTTTACAACAACAACAAAATTACATTTGTAAAGCGCCTTTCATGTCAGGAGGCCGTCCCAAGGTGCTGAACAGTCGGGGATCAGGGAAGGCAGGGTTGGGATTAGGGAGGGCAGAGAGGTAGGAGGGAGGCTGAAGGCACAGTCGAAAAGGAGGGTTTGAGTCGTGCCTTGAAGGAGGCAAGGGAGGGAACGAGGTGAAGGGATTGTGGAATAGAGTTCCAAAGGATGGGGGCAGAGAGGCTGAAAGCTTGGCCGCCGATGGTAGGGCGGATCAGGCGGGAGACATGGAGCTGGGCAAGGGTGGAGGTGATGGGGTCACGAAGCCTGGTGCAGGAGAAGACACAAGCTGCAGAGTTCTGGATGATCTGCAGCTTGTAGAGGGAAGAGTTGGGGAGGCTGACAAGGAGGTAGTTTCTGTAGTCGAGCCTTGAGGTGACAGCATCAAGTTGTTTCTTGAATTAATCCAGGATCCTGGCCACAACCACCCTTCCTGATAACCAAGTCCTGTCATTAATTACATTCTCTTAAAATAACTACTTCATGGTGTCTGTCCTGAAATTACATCTGTGAATATGTGTCCTATTGTTCAGTTGCCTTGGAATATCAAAACGTATTGTTCTGGATTTACTTTCTCAATCCCATTTAAAATCCTGTGTATTTCTATAAGATCTCCTCTGAGACATCTCCTTTCAAGACTGAAGAACCTAGCCACGTTAGGGCAGCACCCTTATGTCACAGGAACCAGAACTACATGTAGCAATCCTGGGCCTGAACAAAGAACTATATAGCTTGAGTATGACCTCTGGGTATCTGAGGCCAACTAATTTGTCAACATTGTTTAGCAACCTGTTTGTTTTTAATCTTGTTTTGACAGTGGGGACAGAGAGGCTGAAAGCCCAGTTGCCGATGGTAGGGCATTCATGATCTTAGATGAGGAATGAGTCAATCAACATCATACCAAACTAGGGAGACCCTCAAACCTAAATGTAACTGTGTGTCATTTGACAGACTATTAGAAAGTATTATTGGTGAGCAGGCCTAGTCAATAGGGTATTGGTGGTACTGTTGTCATGATGTGAATTCAATTTCTGCAGTCATCATTGTGCATCAAGTACACAGATGTACTGTGTCAGCCACTGCCAGTCTGAGAAATGTAGTTGGAATGTGTTGAAATGTGTTTTATGTCTCTTCGGGTTTGTTACTGGACACCCTCCAAGAATTGATACAGCATCAAAGAGAGGATTTGTGTAACCAGAAGTATGTCACTCCAATCCAAGGGAAGTCTGCTCAAGGTAGATTTCAGCAGAGTGGAGTTCATGGGTGATTTACTTCCACTTCTTTATGAAGGAATCCTGTTAGAAGTCACTGTAATATTAGATACCAATATATTGACCCAGATCATAATGACCCAGTGGATAAAAATGTTCATCTTAGAAAATGACTTTGAAAATAACTGCTCATATGTGGAGGATAAATAAATAAGGCATCAGTTCATTAATCATTAATACTGCAATTTTCTTCATCGTTTGAATGAACATTTTCCATCAACAAATCATACTCTCTATCTCCCCCGTCCCCCATTGCAGTTTAGGCTCCACTCAGCTATGTGAAGCTCTTTGAGTCATATATAAATGCAAGTTGTTGGTGATTTTTTTCCTTCTTGCTTCATTTGAAACATTTTTATTTATGGATTTCTGCATGTCTTGCGTTTCTGTAACTATTAAACCAGTAGATATGCTATATAAAACATAAGAAAGATGAATTAGTATTATAGAAGATTTATTATAATAATATTAATCCTTACATTTGATACAGTGTCTTTTTATGTCGGGAGGATGTCTCAAGCTCTTCATAAGGTACACAGTGAAGTGTAGAGAATGTGTATTTTATGAGTAAACAGGGCAGCTAATTTGCACACATCAATGACCCACAAACAGCCATGAATTGAATGAACAATTTTATTTGGGGGATTGTTGGCTAGGACACAAGGAGAAAGCCTTCATTTTTTAAATTCCCTTCATTTTTCGAATAGTGCCATGGGATCTGTAACATGTCCACCTAAACAGGCAGACAGGACCTCGGGTTAATATCTGATCCATTACCTTGGGACATTCTCCCGATGTGAAAGACGCTATACAAATGCATTTTTGTTGTTGTTGTTGATCTAAATGAAGGCATCTCCATCAATGTTGTGCTCCTCCAGCACTGCATTGGAGAGCATCAGCTTAGAGTGTATCAGTTCCAAGTCCCGATGTATGTTCATGAACCCCCACCCTCTAAGTCAGAGGCGACAGTCTACAAACCAGGCTGAATGTGTTAGTGTTATATCCACTCCTGGTGTTATCCAGTCTAATCCCAATCCACATTTTTTTGCCTGTACCCTTTAATATTGTTCCGCTAGTATTTATCCAATTCTTTTTTTGAAATGATTTGCTTAAATATATTTCTGGGTAAAGTATCGAAAGAGCAGATTCCTATTTGATGAATTTCTCCATTCTGGACAGTTGAAATTTCCTGTGGTATTCAGAGCCATATTCATTCAGAGAATGTCTAGGGAAATCTATGTGACCTTTTCTTTTCTTTTGTTTGTGAAACACTGTAATGTTTCTTTGAAAGTTAATTATACCATATAAATTTTTTAAATGCTAAATATAGACTGAAACAGAATGTGATTGTTATTCTGTGCTCCATACGTGACAAATTATATTTCTAACTATGCCAATATCCAATGCTGAGTGCAAGACAGGAATTGACTTAAATAAATTCAAATTTATCATATGTAAAATTTATTATAAATTTAGCAGAAAGTAATCTAAATTTATTTTCATAATATGCTATCAATAAAAGATCAAAGCTTGATTTTGCTCTGTTTAAGCAGCAATTTCAAGCATCCAGAAATTGGCAAATTGTTGAATTCAGTTCGTGTCTGTGAAGTCAGTTTTTGGTAGCTCTTATTGGAAACTTTCAGAAACCCGGCTTCAAGTTGAAGCTGAGTTTAAGACCTTGTCAAATTCTGGATGCTCTAAAATGGGAATGGAGTAAATAGAGTAAATCTAGCCCCAGGCAGAATTTCTCCCACAGAGAAGTTTAAAAAGAGACACTATTGTTAGTGATCTGTTCTGCCTCTTTTCCAACCTTTGTTAGAAAAGTAATTTCAGGTGAAATTTCTCCCCGTTTATCAGCAAATATTTATTTTGGCAGCAAATATTTATTTTGGGGGGGAGGAAGTTGCGGTTTTATCTTTGACTTCTGCCAATGACTTTGTTTATAGCATCGGCTGGGCCGGGACTCTCAGCGAGGGTCGGACAATATCTCCAACAAGTCGTCAGACAGCGATGTGAGTGACGTGTCCGCCGTGTCCAGGACAAGCAGCGCTTCAAGAATGAGCAGCACAAGTTACATGTCTGTGCAATCTGAACGCCCGCGATCAAGCAAGAAGATCAGGTGAGGCCCAGTGTCAGCACTGTACTCCATTTCGTAACCTAAAGTTCCTGTTTCAAATTGTCCTTCAAATTTGTCTTTTGAAAATGAATTTCATTTTGAGTACTTAGTCTTAACTTGAACTCAATCAGAACTTTGAAGTCAATTGATGTAGTTCACAGTGATTCTATAACACTGAATTTACAAGGAGTGGAGCTTGGGAGGAAATATTCCACCCAGTAGATGTAGCTTTTTGACTCAGCATTTTATCGCCTGCAAATTTCAGACAATTTTTAATTTCAGTCTGAAATTTGAAGATGTTTCTATAGTGCTCAAAAGAATCTACAGAAAACTATTCTCCAAAGTAAGACTGAATTTTAGAGTTGTCCAAAATCCTCATCTAGACTCAGATGGAATTACTCTCTTTCTCGCCCCACCTTTCCCGATCTATAAAGATCCCAACATAATGATGCCATTGTTATGATGGGTACATGACAAATCCTCTTTTGCCTTAGTTATATTGTTTTTGATTAGTAGAATTAGTTTACTTAGTAGAATATAATTATGAGGGCTAAAATCATTGGTCTCCAAGAACAAAAGAAAACAGATGTGCTACAATACGGCAGGCTGGTCTCTATAATATAATTTTTTTGACTGAAGATATCAGCCTTCCTCAGCAGGTTAACTCTGAAAAAGCAACATTAAATAAAGACAGAATCTAGAGTCTGAGCTAGGGCCTAAACTTTACAAAATAAGTACTTGCACAAGGCCAAAGAGCAGTTCTTTGACCTGGGAAGGAACAAACCTAATCCGCTGGTAGATATCAAATGTTCTGTCACGTATTTAGGGAATGCTCTCCTTATTGGAATTTTTATCCTAGGATTATTAACAGAAAAATTAGGGGAGAGATTATAAACAGTTTCTTCACTCATAGGATTGATGTAGTTGAGAATTAATTGCCACAGGTAGCTATAGAAGCTGAAAGAACAGAATCAGACAACGGGGAACTGGATAAGCACCTGAGCAATTAAAGCATCAAGATATTAAGAGATGGAACTGGGAAGTGGATGATTTAGAAAAATAGGTAGCAGAGCAAGAACATTATGGGCCAATTTGCCTCCTTCAATTGTTCTAAAGTTATTTTTACTTTTTTGTATTTGTCTAATCTTTTAATTTATTTTTCATTCCTGTTTTCCTCTTTATTACTATCCACTTCTGCACAAATTGCACAGAAATGTGGATTATTCAAACCACAAAAGTAAAATACGCTGCAAGCAAACATGAAGTTCTGAGTACAGTTTATCTCCATCTAAATCTGAGTTTATAATAATGATAAATGATTAGAAGTGTCAGTGACTGAGAGCTAATTCCAGTCTGTGCAATAGCAGTGCCAGTGGATATTTGGTATGTTTTATATACCTCTGTGCAATAGCATGTGTTCCTATGAGAATATAGAGGACTGAAGTGTGCAATTTTTTAATGGGATTCCTTGATATGAAATCATGCGACTGGCGGTTCCGTCCAGCAACCAGAGAAGTATGTCAAACCAACCCACGGGATCTCTACTTCGAAATGATCTACTTCTGGAGCAGAGTTCCCACAAGTCAAGGGGAATTCAAATGGGATTCCTTATTAAGAAATCCTGTTTAAAAATACCCACTTTAGCCCCCACAGTGAATTAAATTATTTCCAAAGAGCAGGTGAGTTGATGGGATTTTTTTTGTAAAAAATGTTCTGCTTGCATGCTGCTTTGATTTGCTGCATTATCAGTCACACGTAACATTAGCGATGATGTTTTCCTTTGAGTCTTTCAGTTCTTTTGAACCAATGAGTTTGCTCCTTGCCTTAATAAATGTTTCTTCACCGAGTGCTGTTTACTGCTGTTTATTTTCAGTGTTTAAGTGACCCTTTTCTTTCACTGATTGTAACTAACTTTTTTCATTTGTTTTCTGTTTTGCATGCCTTCATTGCTTTTGTGTTGGCACCAGGAGGTCAAAGGCATTAGAGGAGAAAAAGGAGGGTGAGGAAGAAGGGGGGGAGGAGGAGGAAGAGGAGGAGGCGGAAGCAGTGGCAAAAGTGGAGGAAGATGAGGGGGATAAGGAGGAGGAGGAGGAGGAGAGGCACAAAGTAACCCAGTATTCTAAAAACGAGGAAAACGAGAAGTCAGGGGAAGAAGAGGAACCAAATGAAGAGCCAAGTGAGGAAGGGTCAGGGAAGAGACAAAGAAAAAAAGAGGATTTACAGAGGAGATACTCTGAGAATGATGTCAGGTAAAATCTGACCAGTTTCTCTGATGTAGATAGATATTCCAATAGTCACCATAGTACTTCTCCTCCAACTCTCTGCCCTCGTGTGATCCTAGGCAGGACCCCTCTCTGTGTGTTCTTAGCAACTATTTGATGTAGCAATACTCGTGACGACCTCTGTTTTGCGTCTTTCAGCTCCCAATATTTTGTGACGATCAATCTTGCTTAAAATCCGCATGCAGCAGTTAGATATTTGAACAGACAAACATTTTCTCCCTTTGAATTGGTGAATAATTGTCCAAACCTTACGTAGTGATGCTGGAAAACCTCCGTCCCACTGCTTTGCAGCTAAGATCCTGGAGCCACTCAGACGTCGGTTTACTTGTACCCAGTGTTGAGGAAATAGCAATGAAATTGTACTTTTCACATATTTATTTGTTATGACAGGAAGGTAATTACTTGGGAGTCCTATAGTTCAGTGGTTAGAGTACTCACTTTGTAAGCGAGAGACCTGGGTTCAATTTGCAGTGGGGTGAAACCTTGGGCAAGTTTCCTTACTCCAAACGCCTGATAATAATCCCTCAAAAAAATGAAACAATAATAAAAATTGGTCACTTCAAACCACAACTGTTTGTGAGATACTGCTGTGCGCAATTGGCTGCTGCATTTCTTCCACAAATATACAGTCAATTCACTTTACAGTCTATTCTGTGAAGCACTTTGAGATGTCTAGAAGAGGTGAAAAGTGCTATACCAAATGCAAGGATTATTATTATTATTAATCTTGTAAATAAAGCATTTTAAAAGATGCATCCACCCACCCCTCTTAAATCTTGGCTCACACCAGTGTTTCATTCAGAGAGCGATAAGGAATAAGCTAAATCGCCTACTCGATAATAAGAGGAAATACATCACGAGCAAACAGCTCATGAAGCACATGCCTTCGAATTTCATTGTCAGATTACAGATGTCCAGCACTGGAAGAAGCCATTTGGAATATTGTGTCTGTGACCCTCATTATGTTATTGTATTCCTTTAGTTGGTCATCTTGCTGATATCACACACAAGTGTGACTGATGTGTGACTTTAGCAGTGCAAGGTGCGAGTATACTAACACATGTCACATATCTCAGGACAGACAGACAGACAGACAATTCCCATAAACAACAACAACTTGCCCTTTGTTGTGCCTTTGGCATAGGAGAATGCCTCAAATCACATTACAGAGGCTGAGCCTGAGCAAGGCAGGAGACTGGGGGAAAACAAAAATAGTATCAAAGAGAGATATTTAGATTGGATTTGAAAATGGAGAAGGAGAGTGCAAGGTGAAGGGCTTTAGGGAGAGAGTTTCAGGGAGTGGGGGCAAAGTTGCTGTAAGCTCACCCACCAATGGTGGGGTGGAAAGGGTGGGGTGCATAGAGAAGATCTGAGTTGGTGGAGTGGAGGGAGGGAGTTGGGGATATAGGAACCCAGCCCATGTGGAAGGTAAGTCCGAGAGTTCCCAAGTCTGACTATACTGTCAGTAGGAGATCATAATACAGAGATAGCTGCTTTCCTCCACTCAGGGAGAATAGTTCACTGCCAGGGTTCAAGGATAACTGCCCCAATAACTAACTAGTGATTTTTGTGAGAATGGAAGAAAGTCGTGTGCAGGGCTGAGGAATAGGACTTTCTCATAACCTAACATATTAATGTTGCCAGGTTTTGGGTCACAAATCATCTAATCTGTGCCTAGGGGATGAATACTTTCAAGTAAGGCATTGTATAGAAATGTACTCATTGGTAGAGACCTTTGCATCCAGGCCTTGAGCTGTTGCTATACTTTATTGCATCACAGTTGTGCCCAAGTTGGCAGAGAATATTTATAATCTCCATCCTTTAGATAATTAATGTTGTGGACATTCAAGATTTTATGTAACAGCAAAATTCCTACAAGATTAAAAGTTAATGGTTATTTTCAACCTGGAAAAAGTGGATATTTCGAACATAACACATTAATCATAAAAAGCACCAAGGGCAACAATAGACTTGATTTCAAAGAAAGTTATATAGTTTTGTTCATAGAGTTCATTGTCTTTCTCATTTCCTTTGTATTTCAAAAGAACTGGTACTTCTCTTAGATATATCTTTATTACTTTATGTGAAGCAGTTTTTTCTGTATTATGGCAACCAATCCATCACTTTGGGCTGTAACAATAGTGATTTTGAAATATGAGTTACATGGAAGCATTCCAGGAGCAACAGATGTACACTTCTTCTTTTCTGGTCAACTGAATGTCTGAAGCACGCGGAAATCCATCAGAAATCCACAACAATGCTTAAGAGTATCCAACCCGGCCTGAGAGTTCCACGTATACATTGTACCTATGCATGGAAATTTCCCTGTGTATGGAATGGAATGCCTGTTCTCTCTCTGGAGGGATGCTCTCTTCTTACCTAAATCTGAAGAGTATTAGATGCAGGTTGGTGAATCCATGCTTCCATTGATAGGTCTTCCTCTCCCAGTCCTGTCGATGAGCCCGGTGGTCTGAGCTGTCATCAGTATTGCAAACCCAAGTGGCTTAGGAACCAAGGCTACCACAGAATGTCTGACTTGATCCGGACATTCTGTTGCCAAGTTCATCACCTTGCAACCAGCTCACCCCCAAGTGTTCCACACTTATCTGCCTTTGAGGAGGATAGTTAGTAGTTTGTCATTACTAAATCATTCTATATTGCCAATATAGTGTTATTAGTGAGCCAAATTGGATGCTGGGGTTCATAGCTAGAGGTTTAGAATTTGAAAGCAGGCAAGTGCGTTGTGACTGAATTGGTGAAAACATTGGTGAGACCACACTTGAAACATTGCTTGCTGTTTTGCATGCCTCTTAATAGGAAGGATATATTGGCTTTGGAGAGAATGCAGCTTAAGCACAAGAACATGACACCAGGAATTACACAGTGGTAGCGGATCACACAATAGTAGTAAATTAGTGAAAGAAAGGATAAATTGGTGTATTCTCTGATACTAATGGGTAATTTAGACCAGATGTTTAGGATTTTGATGGAGCTCAATAAAATAAACAATGAGAAACTTTTTTCCCTGGTGGATCCATGGGTTAGGACTCAGATGAGAGAAAAACATTTTCAGAGAGAGGAATAAGAAAATCGAATGTACTGCCCCAAAAGGAAAGCCAAAATATTGCTTCAGGGATTTAAAAGTGAGATGGTTGAAATTTCAAGAATATAAACATTAAGGGATGTAGTGGGAAATGGGGAGATAAGATCGGGAAAAGTTGAAATAATTAAACTACGGAATAGTCTATGGAGAGCGGTCTTGATGAACTGAATAGCCTTCCCCTATTCCTAATTTGACTAATTTCTGTATGATCATATGTGAAGATCGCGACTTTGTGTGTGTGTGTATATATATATACTATATATATATTAGTCTAGGCTGACACTCTGATACAGTGCTGGGGGATTGCTGCAATGTCAGAGATTCCGTCCTTCTGTTGAAACATTAAGATGAATTAAAGTCTCCTGCTCAACAATCCTTTAAATAAAATTGGTTATTAACTCCATAGCTGTCCGTAGGGCATTGCTGTGTGTAAATTGCCTGCTGCATTGTCCCTTTAAATAAAATGCGATATTCCAGTAGTTACATGGTACATTGGTGGGCAGTGACAATTTCACTGCTGACTAGTAGCTCATTACACTGCTGTTTGTTCCCTGTAACCTAACACTTGTCCTCTCAGTGGCACATTTCATTGTTGCCATGGCAGCACAGTGCTGAGCTGTTGTGATACTTTGGCCAAAGGTCTGGCATGACGAACATCACGTAAAGCCTTTTATTTCATATTGTGTATTGATCTCCTTGGAGTTTGCTTATTTTAGTGCACACTGATTCTATGGACTATGCAGTGAAAAAAAGACATGATTAATATGGCATAGTTTCTGTCCTTGTCAGTGGCTCAGTCAATGAGATCCCCCCCACTCCACCTCAACCCCTTCAACTTTGTTGGAACCAGGCCAGTCTAACACCACCACTGATTCCCAGGATTGTTCTTCAATAATCCTGAACAAAGTAGAGTAATTCTAGTCCTCTCCTGCATGATACAATAACACTGCAAATGTAGGAGAGGACTAGAACTACGGTATTTTGTTCAGGATTTCAGTGGAAGGTTTAGAAGAGCTCATTATTTTACTGATCTCCAAAGGAGCAAACTTCCCTTATAATCAAGTCCTTCCAGCAAATGAGATAAAGAGGCACAAAGGACTAAGGCTTTATGGAGTGTACTGGCACCATTTACATTCTTATAGAAGATTTTCTGCAGCATTTCCAAACCATCTGCATTTTTTGTTGAAACCCAAACACAGTTTTAATGTCAATCCATCAGAGAGTGACATTAATACTGACTACCCTTCTGAAACGTTCATGGTACCTTATACATATTGTGTAGCCCCATATGCAATTGTCTCCGAGAGACTTCCTTGTACAAAGAACACTATATAAATGCAAGTTGTTGTTGCTACCAGCTACTGCTGCTGCTGATCTTTGTATGAATATACGTATCAGGAGAGTAACCAGAACTGGCAATTATGCCCTGCTCAAGTACCTATGTTAAGGAATGGCTGATACACTGCAGATTGTCTCTACCAAGATCCAGAGGCAAAACATTTGAGTGGAGTTTGTACCACCAGTAATGCTCACCACATTGCAAAACTCGACAACTGAATCAGGATTAGTCTTTCAATACATTGTTCACGCTTTTTATAAACCCAGACAGATAAACCCGTCAATATTCAGTGACCTGGCAGTGATGCTCCTCATACAGATCAAGCTAAAGAGCACTTTATCCATCACAAAACTTATTCTTACAGTGTCCATCATACTGAGAATTTAAATGATGCAAATAGCTTCGGAAATATAAATTGTAGGAAACGGAAGCTGAATGTGTCTGGATGACTTCAGTAACACTATTATTGTTCTCGTTTATCTCCATTTCTCTCCATAACTCCATTTCTTTCGCTCTTTGTTTTCT